AGGATAGAGGAAAAGAGGAGATTTGGTTTAAAATTCAAATAGGAGATAATTAACAAGCTTTATCTTAGAGATAGAGATTGGATTCCTTCTAGAAGTTTGACTTTTACTCTATAAATACTATTTTTGAGACAATTTTCGGAATGGTTTTTTGCCCTAATTTTAGAGGTAGCCGAAATTTCACTATAGATATTTTGGAAACAATTTTTCAGCCCTAAGGGTTAAGGCTGGCCGAAATTTTCAAGAGAGAAAGGATGGAAAAATTTTTCTCCAAAAATTCCACATCGTGCATGTGATGGTGTTTGTGGAAATTCGAGTGTTTATTGTAACTCGTTTTGTCTCATGTGTGCCCACACACACGTCTTCGTGGATTCTAGGAATTGATGTGGAAGACATTGGTTTTCTAAACACAAAGATTGGAGCAAGGACTGTTCGTGGTCAAAGAACTCAAGTTATCATCCGAGTCGGCTTCCAGGTTTTTTTCCTGATTGAGTTCTTGATATATATAAGTTAATGAGATTAATTTATTCGTGCATAAATTAATATAATCTATAGAGTATCTCAAAAGTTTTATAAAAATTTTTATTATACACGATCCGCCTCTTCCCCGCACCACCACGCTTCCGCATCCGGATTCGATCCGGAGACCAACACTATGTGCATTGGAAAATGAACTGGTCCATGTTTTTGTGAGATCAAGCACATCATTGCAACACCTGACACCCCCCGACATGCCATCGCAATAACCAACATACACCAAGCAAGCCCACTAGTAGCCCCTTCATACCTACATCGCTGAGAGCCTCTCGAATTGTTGTGACTTGTGAGCCCTTCCTACAATATGGTTTTTTTTTTTGTGCTTTTGGTGTAGTTTTGACCAGATTCAACAGCCAACTGATCTTATCAAAAAAAAATATATTTAAAAAAAAAACTTGATTTTCACCCAAATTTCATAGTATAAGAAAAATAATATTTCCCTACTCCATGGCACCATCATAAATTGAAAAAAAAAACAAAAAAAAACAAAAAAAAACAAACAAACAAGCAAACAAAAAATATATTTGGAGAACTCAAGGTGTTAGAAAGATTGTAATATGTCATGATCAAGATCACAAGTTGTTTGAGTGTTAAAACATGAAAACTCGTGTTAAAGGGACTTTAAAAGCGCTGCAACGAGTTTAGAAACGCTGCAGCGGACAAACTGCACAAAACTGTGTAGTTTGGTACTGCCAAACCCATTGTAGCTGAAATATTGGGTTGCAGCGGAAAACTTCGCGCTGCAGCACCCTTGTGCAGGCGTCTCGGATCTGTTTGGTTATGTCTCACGCGCTGCAGCGGTAAAACACCCGCTGCAACGGGAATTTTGCAAAAAACAGTATTTTCATAGTTTTATGTGATCTGAAATGTTTCGAACCATTACATCCATTAGTGATATATTTTCATACATATTTAAACACCAATTAGTAATAGATATAACTAGTATAATAGGTTCATTATTTCATGAAGAGATATCTTTATATTGAAAAGGCACCTCTATGTGAATGGTTGTAATGGTTGAAGAGGATGCATTCATTTATGAAATGACACCTTTGTCTTTATTAATTATCCAGAAAATTTACAAACTTAATTTATGTTCTGGAACTCAATATTATTGCTAGATATTGTGTTCAAGGGTTTGTTGTATCTTGGGGGTAATTTGCCATTAAAACTTATTAGCAAACTTTGAAAAGTGAGGGCAAATAAAACCTTAAAGGAAAGTATTCTTATATGCTTCAAACCCTCTCTTATTTTCTGCATTCTTTTCACCCTCTACACTCAAATTATCCAACAATCTTTATAAGGTTTTAGCTTGCTGCAATGGAGGTTGAAAAGAACATGGCGTCTTTCCTCAATCCGAATGTCCAACTTGATCGATTCGATGGTACCAATTTCA